GTCTGATCTCAGTCCAGAGAACCGTTGTGCCGGTTGCGGGCAGGCACGGGGGACAACAGAGCCCGGTATAGCGGAGAGGGGGGCGCACAATTCCCTACGCCATACAAGCTATCGGATGGCTCTATAGCCACCTGTGCGCTTGTATGTAACAGCCATTGCCAGCTGGTTAAAATGTTTACCATGCCCTGCGAGGGTAGGGGCGGGCAACCCACTGCCAAAAGCGTGCCGTCCGTTTAAATAAACGGTTAGATGAGAAGTACTTTAATCCATCAGGTAGCTACAAATGTATTTACAGTATTACCCCCTGTTGGCAGGAACGACAATTTAGACACTTTCACAAAATGTATATCATGGGTTTTTGTTTTTAGTCTGTGTTCAGGTTGGAATGGGGATGGATTTGTTGTACCATTTTAGCATATTAATGAAAAATCAGGGCCACCATTAAAGATCATGAAGGCCCCATACAATCTACCTGACAGGAATTCCAGTCATGTTTTATTGCAGTCGGAGGCCCTATTGTAGAGTCCTTGACTTCCTGCCTGGTAAAAAGGTTGTCCCCTGGACAATAAGTGTGGGGGAATCTCTCTAACAGCAAAGCAGACAGACGGAAGTAAAAATGCTATAAAAACCTTAGGGAGATTGTAATCGCACGCCAGTCTATTCCAACCAAAAGAAGAAAAAAAAAGAAGTTTTGCCAGAGTAGCTGGTAATGGTAAAAGGGAACAAGAAGAATGATTTGCTCTTTTTGAATAACAAGAAAAAAAGTGCATAATTTATCATCTGTTGTCAAGGTAAAAGGTGCACTTTAAGGGGTTCAGTTGAAACCTTTACCAAAATTCCTCCTCTAGGGACTGTAGGTGCACAGCTGTACTTTTAGAAACCCTCCTGAAGTATGCAGATCAGAGCCAGATCATCTACAAAGCAACCTAGGCACGAGTCTAGGACCTGGTGGATGTCTAGGGGACCCAATACAACCTTCATGGTCCTGAAGAAAACAGTTGGTCAAAGCTATGCACTTCTGTCTCTGCACAAAAGAGGATGTAGTTGAAGACAGTTGGAGCTATACAGTATAGAAAATGCAAATGGGGGCAGCGTCTATGTTTCCATTGCAATCCATATCAATTTCAGCTAAAGAGTTGGGGCTGGCCAAAGCTGCTATCTTGCATAGGGTCCTATTCTGCTGCAACCAGGACAGCCATCAGAAATTTTGGGGCCCCTTACACAGCTTTAGGCCAAGCCCCCCCCCACCCCGCTGGATGCAGGGCTTAGTGACGCGCTGGACGCAGGGCTTAGTGACACGCTGGAGAGTGACCCTGCAGAGCACACCATAGATGCTGCACAGCCCATCTGAGACTGTCTATGGTGGGCTCTGAAGGGGTCTCTAACGTGACGTCACTTCCGGCCAGTCCGACATCAGACGAGGAGCGTCGCTGATGGGGCACTAGCTTGTCTCAAAGCTGCTGGAGTGGCAATGCTGGGGCCCTGCGCTGCTAGGGCCAGGCCTCCGCCTCCTTGCCCTTTATCGTCGGCCGATAGTCATGTAAGGGACCGGGCCCCCCAGGCTGCCCGGGCCCCGTACATGAGTATCGGCCGTACCCCCCCTGATGGCTGCAACTGTCTCAGGTGTGAAGGGTGCCTTCTCCAGGCTGCATGTCTCAGCTCGTTCCATAGATGTTTGATAGGATTCAGATCAGGGCTCATACAAGACCACTTCAGAATGTTTTGTTATCAGCCATTTTTTTGGTGCTGTTAGCTGTGTGTTGTGGGCCATTATCCCGTTGGAGAACCAATGACCTCCAATTGAGACAAAGCATTCTGACACTGGGCAGTACATTTTGCTCCAGAATTCCCTTAGAGTACGGAGATTTAATTGTGCCTTGCATAGATTCATAGCACCCCATTTCATTTGCAGCAAATCAGCCCCAAGACATACCTGAGCCTCCTCCATGTTTTTTTTTCTATCACAGCTTGTCTTTAAAATCTGTAAACATAGAGCTGGTGTGACTTGCCAAAAAGCTACAAATAAGTCTCATCTGTCCAAAGCACATTCTCCCAGAAGCAATTAGGCTCGTCAATATGCATTTTAGTACATTCCAGTCTGGCTTTTTTATTATTTTCTTTTAACAGTTGAGTGCTCCTTAGTCTACTTTCTTTGATCCTACTGTCACTCAAAAAGTGACACATGCTGTGATTAGACACTGATGTACACTATCTTGACCTTGGACTTCAGCTTGTATCTCTTTGAAAGTTTGACTTGGTTATTTGTCTACCATTCCCACTATTCTTCTGTTTAATCTGGGGTCGATTTTCCTCTTGCAGTCACGTCCAGGGAAGTTGGCTATACGCCAATGGATCTTACATTTCCTATGAATATTTGCAACTGTAGTCACAGGAACATCAAGCTGCTTGGAGATGGTGTTATAGGCAGTCATCCCACTGACCACAACTGTAAGGGGAGGCAGTCTTCCCACTGACCACAACTGTAAGGGGGGCATTCTTCCCACTGTGCACAACTGTAAAGGGAGGCAGTCTTCCCACTGACCACTACTGTAAAGGGGAGGCAGTCTTCCCACTGACCACTACTGTAAAGGGGAGGCAGTCTTCCCACTGACCACTACTGTAAAGGGGAGGCAGTCTTCCCACTGACCACTACTGTAAAGGGGAGGCAGTCTTCCCACTGACCACTACTGTAAAGGGGAGGCAGTCTTCCCACTGACCACTACTGTAAAGGGGAGGCAGTCTTCCCACTGACCACTACTGTAAAGGGGAGGCAGTCTTCCCACTGACCACTACTGTAAAGGGGAGGCAGTCTTCCCACTGACCACTACTGTAAGGGGGGGGCAGTCTTCCCACTGACCACAACTGTAAGGGGGGTGGGCAGTCTTCCCACTGACCACAACTGTAAGGGGAGGCAGTCTTCCCACTGTGCACAACTGTAAGGGGAGGCAGTCTTCCCACTGTGCACAACTGTAAGGGGGGCAATCTTCCCGCTGGCCACTACTGTAAGGGGGGGGGGCATTCTACCCACTGACCACTACTGTTAGGGGGGGCATTCTTCCCATTGACCACAACTGTAAAGGGGAGGCAGTCTTCCCACTGACCACAACTGCAGGGGGAGGCAGTCTTCCCACTGACCACAACTGCAGGGGGAGGCAGTCTTCACACTGACCACAACTGGAAGGGGGAGGCAGTCTTCACACTGACCACAACTGTAAGGGGAGGCAGTCTTCCCACTGACCACTAGTGTAAGGGGAGGCAGTCTTCCCACTGACCACAACTGCAAGGGGAGGCAGTCTTCCCATTGACCACAACTGTAAGGGGAGGCAGTCACTGACCACAACTGTAAGGGGGGGCATTCTTCCCATTGACCACAACTGTAAAGGGGAGGCAGTCTTCCCACCGACCACTAGTGTAAGGGGAGGCAGTCTTCCCACCGACCACTAGTGTAAGGGGAGGCAGTCTTCCCACCGACCACTAGTGTAAGGGGAGGCAGTCTTCCCACCGACCACTAGTGTAAGGGGAGGCAGTCTTCCCACCGACCACTAGTGTAAGGGGAGGCAGTCTTCCCACCGACCACTAGTGTAAGGGGAGGCAGTCTTCCCACCGACCACTAGTGTAAGGGGAGGCAGTCTTCCCACCGACCACTAGTGTAAGGGGAGGCAGTCACTGACCACAACTGTAAGGGGAGGCAATCTTCCCACTGACCACTACTGTGAGGGGGGGCAGTCTTCCCACTGACCACTACTGTAAGGGGGGCATTCTTCCCACTGACCACAACTGTAAGGGGGGGGGGGCATTCTTCCTGTTGACCACTACTGTAAGGGGGGCATTCTTCCCACTGACCACTACTGTGAGGGGGGGCAGTCTTCCCACTGACCACTACTGTAAGGGGGGCATTCTTCCCACTGACCACAACTGTAAGGGGGGGGGGGCATTCTTCCTGTTGACCACTACTGTAAGGGGGGCATTCTTCCCACTGACCACTACTGTGAGGGGGGGCAGTCTTCCCACTGACCACTACTGTAAGGGGGGCATTCTTCCCACTGACCACAACTGTAAGGGGGGGGGGGCATTCTTCCTGTTGACCACTACTGTAAGGGGGGCATTCTTCCCACTGACCACTACTGTGAGGGGGGGCAGTCTTCCCACTGACCACTACTGTAAGGGGGGCATTCTTCCCACTGACCACAACTGTAAGGGGGGGGGGGCATTCTTCCTGTTGACCACTACTGTAAGGGGGGCATTCTTCCCACTGACCACTACTGTGAGGGGGGGCAGTCTTCCCACTGACCACAACGGTAAGGGTTGTTCTTCTCCCTGAATTGTAGGGGAGTTTTCTACCCCCTGGCAAGAATTGTAAGGGCATTCTTCACAGTGACCCCCTGAGAGGAATCGCAAGGAACATTCTTCGCGATGATGGCCAAGGGGATTTTCACAGGGGACCTAAAATTAATTTCAAGGGTTCCTTTGGGGTAGGAAGGTTGAGCAAGGCTGGTATACAGTCTACCATCTACAGTCATAGTTACTACAATGATGTCACAAAAACACAACTGATTTACCTGAATGTGACCTTTATTACATGCATGATAGCTGCGTCTCCCAGAATCAAATCCTGCTGCCCAATAATGTACCATCAAGCTTACTACACCGATCATAAACAAGATGAGCAGAAGCACTGACGGCTTTCCCCTCCAGTAATCATGTCAAGGACACCGATCATACAGCACGGACAATCCTGAGGATCCATCCGTATACAAGCACACAGCTGTACAGACAATCTATATGATGGAGTCAGGCATCAGCTTTCTCCGAGACCTCCTGCACATCACAATGGATACCCATAGCACACAATATGGGAGCACTTCATACATCTCTTCTATATCTAGAATGACAGCGTGTAAGGTCCGCTATTGATCACACCTCCTCGTTGGCTTTTATCACCCTGCATGTAACGGTTCCTGAACACTGCTGTAACCAGAGACCAGGAATACAGCTCTCACCTCGTCAGCTTGCGGCCCTTCAGCTGCCCGGGCAGCGCTATTCCTGTAACGTCAAGTCAAACGTAGAAAACGACACCGGGAGCTCACAGCTGTTTGCAGCGCCGTAGTAATGTCTGAACGAAAGCATCCCCGGTATCCCTTTAGACGTGTGCGCCCCTCCCCTTCTGGCCACTGGGTGGCGCCAACCTCTACTGCACATACAGTATATGTTCACCAGATCAGCTTTCTTCAGAAGCTGAAGTGCTGGTTGGATGGAGGCAGGCAAAGATGCCCATACACATGGACATGGGCGCATTCACAATTGGAAAGTTATACCCATACAAACTCTGGTACCAGCGTTTATGGCGTACCACCGGGTACAGCGTTTTCTGTTCATACATATCTATGGACAGAAAAGCGCAGCAGTTGCGACTCTCAGGCACCACAAATAATCCTGTATTTGCTCCCAAATACGTCCATGTGCATGAGCCAAGTTTAAGTGATATTAAAGTCAAAAGGTTTTTAAGCTATTATAAATGCTGATTAAATTACTTGCAATGAATGCTGTTTCTTGATGTTTTAAAGTTTTTAGCGTTCTGCAGAATCATCTGGTCCCATAAAGACTGGCCCTGATATCCTGTTTTAGGGTGGCTCCTTTCCCTTGCTGGGTCCTATGGAGCCACCGTTGCTAGTAAGCTGTGTGTGTCTCCACTTATATGCACTGCAAGGTAAGACACTCCTCTGCTCCTCCTTCCTCCCTCTCTAAGCTAGTAGCAGGGCAGCAGCTAGATTCTGTTCTTTCCCTTGTGATCTTGTACTGGACAGGAAGTTCAGGGATGCAGAGCTGAGAGGGTTGGAGCAGATGTTCAGAAACATGATGACTGTGTGTGCTTGGGCAAAAAAATGAAAGGAATACTTTGCTGATCATTGTATAGTTGTTTGGTTTGGATTCATTATTCAAAGTTTGCGAGTTCAATACTACTTTAAACTAGTAGAATTTTGTACAAACAGTTATATGAAAAAGCTCTTCCAAACATTCTCCAACGTTAGCAGAGACTTGACAAATGTTCTTCAAACTTTCCTTTGATTTCAACATTGGAATTTTGGAATGAAGGGAGTTTCTTAATGAAAACCACTTTCACTGTTTTACTTTACTTCTAATTTTTCATCCAGCTCCTTCAATTTTCTTTGTCACTGCGGTTGAATCTGATTGTCAATTTCACCCCATGAACTATTATAAAAGCAAATGAACGTTTCCGAAAAGCACATTTTGTTGAACACGGGTCTAGTGGTGTGTGGTGGCAATTTTGGCTGATTGACAGGAATCAACCGAATTAATAAAGTCCTTCACATCTAGGAATGCAAGCACAGGATCCTACATGTTTGTTTTCAAGGCTGAAAAAGGGGAGGACAGCTGCTCTAGAGAACAGTTCTCTCAGGCGCAAAAACGCATGTGTCATACATTTACAGGCGCACACAAAAATGCATGTGTCCCACATTTGCAATCACGCACAACAACGCACGTGTCACACATTTACAGGCACACACAAAAACATGTCACACATTTACAGGCGCACACAAAGACACATGTGTCACAGTTACAGGCGCACACATTGAAGGCTAAGGGGCAAAACAATGCCTACTTATGCTACAAAAAAAGCTCATGTACTTTCTGAGTGTGGGGTGATGGAGTGTGAACAGGGACAATAAGAAAGCATGGGATTCTGCATGTTGAATGTAGTCAGGTGCAGTTGTTTTCTGTGTGCCCTTGCAGTGACTGTCATTGATCCAGTGCAGAAAAATGCTCGTCACCTCACATGAAAGAGCCCTAAGTCAGGGGAGGTGAGGAGACTGTATTACTTACCTAAACCCTTGTTCCAGCAGGCTCCTGCACTCTCCTCTTCTCCCTGGTGCTCTGGGGTGTCCCTCAATGTCATCCTGTACATTGTAGGGCTATTATTCCAGTACTGTATATGAAGGAGGCAGGCATGTGACTGCAGCCAGGAGCACCTTAGAGAGGAGACCTCTGTGACGGACCCCCGTACTCAGGATGAGTATGTCCGCCGCTGTCTTCTTCCTTGCTGAGGAGATATTGGAACCTGAAGATCTGTAGCTCCCAGTTTCCCCCAGTCACTAGCCAAGGCTCGAGTGTAGGGTAAACAAACTCTGATTTATTGAGCAACTGCACAAACTTATATACAGCAAGTGATGAAATCAGAATATAATCCCATCACATCCCCCCTCCCCTCCCAGACCATCGGTCTGCTCAACACCACAGGTGTCCACCTGCTAACGAACTCCAGACAGCCATGGCAAAGCCTGGCCAGAATGTCATTGTTCTGAGCTCCCTCAGAGAACAATGTGAGATAACGAGGGGTGGTGCTGATAGTCTTTCCATAACCAGGTCACACAGCATAACGCACTCAAACATAACTCAATACCAATACACATTTAACTTATAAACTGATCACCATGTCGTCACAACCTCATTGGACTGGTCACACAGATGAAGGGAGCCTGCTAGAGCAAGGACTATGTTAAGTATTACATCGTATCCCTCTCCCCCTAGAATTAAAGAACATTTAACTGATACAGTACAAGGACCCCCACTGCAAGGATAGTTTTTTTTTCTTGTCAGCCCAACTCCAGGCATATTTTTGTAAACTTTCCAGTAGGCCCCAGAAACAGTTAATTCATCCAAAACCTGTGTAATCACAAGGGGAGCGTAGCAGAACTAGTTCCAGGATTCCGGATCCAAATAGCAGATCTCCAAGGCAGCCACTAAACACACTGCCAGGTAGGGTTGGAAAAACAGGGACAAGTCAAAGAACAGCAACAAATAACAATAAAAAACTTGACACGTTTCGGAGCAATCCTCACTCCCTCTTCAAGAATACAAAGAATTACATGCAATGAGTTTAAATACATACAAATTGATCAGCAGCTTCTGAAACAACTGACCCTCCCGGAATCAAAGTGGATGTTCTGAATGATCAGACCCTGAGGGCCAGTTCACACCACATCCAGTGCGTTCCGGCATGGTTAGTGGCTGGATTGCATAATTGAAGCCTCCCGCGTTCTGGGGCAGGAGGGGGCATGGTGGTGCCATTCATGTCAATGGCAGAGCAGCCATGCCTCCCACCCACAGTGCAATCACCCGCACTAGAAAGTGTGGTAAAGCAATGCCCGCGGTCTGGTGCGGTGCAATCACAATCAATAGTGCATGCACTATACACGTGACTATTTTTTTTCAGCATCAGTGTGTCTTGCAGCACTCTTTACTGGTTATCCCAGACGTAACAGGTGCTCGTAATGACTGCGGATGTCGCCGCTCACATTAAAACTTGAATAAAGCTGTCACCAGCACGAAAAATTCCATGTCAGTGCAAATCTATTTTATTGATAGAAGTCACTCAAATGACAAGCACTTTCAGGGCCACGCAGGGTCCCCTTCATCTCTGAGCCTGATGAAGGGGACCCTGCGTGGCCCCGAAATCGCTTGTCATTTGAGTAACCTCTATCAAAAAAATGGATTTGCACTAGCATGGAATTCTCGTGCTATGTGATAGCAATAAAGTGTGATACCAAAAAAAGTAGTCACATATAAAAATAAAATAAAAAATAAAACAAACACAATTTTTTTAAATAAATTCCCCCGCCCCTACATACTCACACAAATATGCGTCAGATGCGCCTACATGCGAAAATGACGATTGTGCCAACCCAGAAGGCTGAGGAGATACTATGACTGCAGGACCTCAGTTGGGTAAAGACTGAATAGGAAGAAGAGCTGGCATGGTGTGTGTCTGTAAAGACTTTGGAAAAGGTACAGTAAGTATATTAACAAAAAAAGCATATACATTGGGATAAAACTCTGGGGGAAAGGGGTATGGGTATTGATGATACACTGGCGGAGTGCTGAGCCCAGAGTTGGGCTTTAACATGGAAATGTATCACTGATATAGTGTCATTTCTCACTCCCCCCACATCCCCATTCCCGCCAACCAGCAGCATAAACTCACTTTCCTTTGCCCCCTCACCACTCTGTCCAACCATCAGAAGGAAAGTGAAATACCCACTACTAGGTATGAGTGAGCATGCGACTTACCCCACCTCTCCTAGGTGAAAGTGCTGGTGCCGAGTGGTTGATCCAGCACTGTCACATGGGGGCAGGAAAGATGTCCCTAGCTCTGTGTAAGCCCTGACAAGTAAGTGTGGAGCCTACACAGGGCTTTCTTGCCTTGGTGCCAGTGGTGGAAATAAGAAAAGATAAGCATAGGTGGCTGAGGGAAGGGGCCACAGAAGAGGATCTAACATCATATATACACAATTTAGTATTTACAGCAATTTATTAAGAACAATAGACTAATACTGGGTAGGGTCTTCATGGAATAAGCCTCATTTCTTCATGGGCTGTGGCTCTGATTGCACATTCCACAAACATTCATTTTACATCCTGGTCTACGTTGAAATGATTGCCTCACACAATTTCTGCCACTTTGTCAGCTGCACATTCATGCTACGAATCTCCCATGCTACCAGATCACAAAGTTGTTCTATTGGATTCAGATTTGATGACTGGCCTACCATTAGTATACCAGAAATTGAGATTCATCAGACCAGGCTTCATTTCCACAGTCTTTATAGGTCCAGTTTTGGTGAACCTGTGCCCACTGTAGGCTCCACTTTCCGTTCTTGACAGAAGGGAGGCAAATCCAACATGGTTTTGTGCTGTTGTAGCCATGTCATCTAAAGGTTCTAGGTGTTGTGCTTCCTGAGATGCTTTTCTGCTCCCTCCAGCTGTAAAGAGAGATTTTTGTCTGCTTGAAGCATTCTGGCTGTTCTCCTCTGACCTGTCTTATCAATAAGTTGTTTTCATCTGCAGAACTGACCAGCTTGTCTGCCACCAGCAATCATGCCATGGTCAAACTCACTGAATCACCCCCCCCCCCCCCTCTGGGGATGAATGGAGAAAC